TTTCCTTAAGGTTTCAAAAACTATATGAACTATTTTCTTAAACTATTAAATGCAAATTTTGATATCTCAGCACATGAACAGACTGAGTGAAATCTGCCACTGTCAATCAGACATTCAGGAGCTAAGTAAAACTGCTAATCACCTCATGAACCTTGTAATGGAGCCTAGTGATAAGGCCAAATATTACTTAATAGTCTCTGCCTTTTGTTTTTCAGGCTTCTTCCCACAGTCCAAAGACATGCATGTTAATTTAATGGCTGTGGGTGTGAATCTGAGCTTGAATGATTGCCCGTCTTCCTGTGTTAGCCCTCTGATAGACTGTAGCCCACCTCTCACCCCTTGACAGCTGTGACAGCCTCTGGTCCCCCAGCGACCCTGAATTGGATAAGCAGTTAAGAATGGATGGATTACATAGCACCAACTACCCTCAACAATCTTTTCAGGGAAGAATACACCATAAGCTCAATACCTTGCAAAAATATGACAACGAAGAAGAAAACCCGTCAAGGATACAACAATCTAATACCTCATTTCTTTGTGAAAACTCCACTGGAAACCTTTTAATTTCACGTTCTAGGGAGAACTTTAGACTCAGATACCAAATGACAATACTAAATAAAAACAGCTTCATGTCTGACTTTTATAAAGTAAAACAGGACTATGTGGCATCCACATAACCCTGAGAATGTTGTTGGATTGGACGGTTGTGGAGATGAAGGTTGGTTCAAATACTTCATCTCTGCTATTGAAATCATTTTTTAATTATTATGTCATCAAAACAAACCGTATCAGACACCTTTTTAAAGCATCACTCAGTACAGCTACTCTGTTCGAGTCACCACTCTGTCACTTACTAGGGTGTTGAATAACACAAGCTTTCTGAGCGTGGCATGTGATGCACAGAACTGCAGAATCTGTTCAAATGCATTTAATATTGGACCGCTAATTATAGCACTGCTTTATGAATCACCGCTGCTTATATCTGTCAGGGAGTGATTGGACTAAACTAAAAACTATTAAAAGCAGCAAAGCTTTCATGAACAGCAGCAGCCTAAGTTGTTGCTTATAAACAATATGCATGTATTGATTCATAGTTTCGAATGGGAACGTGTGCTGTTGAGCTACAGCAACTGGGTGGAACCAGATTAAATTTTTTAATGGTGCTTTAGTGGGTAAAAATAGTAGAAAACGTATAACCAACAGGTCACTCATGGGAGGAACCAAATGTTAACTTCACTCAGCATTTTAAATCATATGTCTACCTAATGCCCATCAGATGCTGCCACACCATTTGTATCATCAGCCTTGTCACATATTTATTTCCAGGCTAATGTATGATAAATAAAAAGGGCATCAATCTTATAACCCTGCACTTACAAAAACTGCCAGTCAAAAACATCCTTTACAGACGTGTTGTGCAAAAGAAATTAAGTTGAAGAGTTTGGATGTCAAGGCTGGTGTCGTTCCCTACGAGGTTTGCTTTCACTTTAATGAGACATGATGTAGATGAAAATGACCCAAATCCATCAATTTCTCAGACACTTTTGATGCTCACTTGGCTGTGCCAGCCTGTTTTCTTGTCATGCACAACCACTAATGTGCTGCAGAGTAAATAAATGAAGTTGTCAGTACAAATGAGCATCTGTTTTTACTTGTTACTTAGTTTATTTGTGCCAAAAATCGAGATTTCTTTTGCTAGAGACCTGAACAAATTCGATCAACGCAGACTCGAGAAAATTCATTTACTTAAAACTGTTATTTCCGCTCCACACAAAAACGACCCTAACTTAAACAGGGAGAAATATTTTCAGCTTTCGCAATATTTAGGTGCATAGCAGAAACCAGTATTCCCCAGTTATCAGTCTTGATGAGAGTCCAAACTCTCCCTTTATTGGATAATTGCCTCTGACCTCAACTAAGAAAGTTGAATATCTGAACTGATTAGTGAGCATCTGTGTTTTAATAAATAAAAACACAGATATACTGCTGCCAATTAAGACCATTCATCTTTTTCATTTAACAGGTCGGGCTGATAGCTGCGTAATTAATCAAAATGCACCATATTGGACAGTATTCAGTCATTTAAAGGCAGTACAAGCATAAAGATTAATTTCTTTATCTTTCTGTCTCCAAAATAAGCAAGCATAATCATTTTTTTCCCAGTTTATTTTTTTTGTAATGTTGTCCAATATAGATAGGATTGTGAACATTGTGGCTCTTAGTCTTTAAAAAGGTTCATTTAAAATGTGCAAAATGAAAAAAAAAAGTCCAAATATTATGGACTCAACTGGAGGTGTGCTGCCCTGAAAAGCAGCTTTCATTTGGGGGAGTACAGTTTTGTGTTGGAGTCAACACAAATACAAAGGTATCATCAGCATAAAAATCAGGATTATAAAAATGAATATTACCTATGTACAGACTATCAGTGGGTTAATAATGGTTATGAGGAATTTATGATTGGAACCAGCTGTAGGCAGAAAATCATAAGCCACAGAAAGCAGCTTATTTCACTTAAACTGTATGTGGGAAATACAGACAACTTCTGCACTGGGGCTGTTTTTTGTAGGTCAATTGGCCTGTCAGGGCTGCAAAGTGGAGTTGTTTTCAAGCAATAGAGATCACAGCAGAAAGCACTATTTGGTGAATATTACTGCTGCATGTCAGCACCGCCTACACTACTGTGGAAGCAGGTGAGACAGGTTTTCCCCATTTTTGACAGCTTATTGTTTACAGACAACAACTAGCAGTTTCGATAGGTAGTCTGATGAGCATCACCAAGTCAGAATACACTGTGCTTTCTCTCAGCACCTACATGGCCATCAAGCAGCAATGTTATCATTTTGCTTCCTGGATTGGCAGCTGCTGTAC